ATCACAAGAAGAACAAGCAAGAAACTTGTGTGTTGCTCTTTTAAATAATTTATTCTTACTTACAATTTAAGTTTAAGTGTGTGAATACAAACTACCGATTAGCACTAATTCAATTAAATAATAAAATAGAAAAAATATTCAATACACAACAACTGGTTAAACAATTTTAATTGTAGAGAGAAAATAAGTCATAGTGATTAGAGCAGACCAGTCCACACAAGCAGCACCCGTTCACGAGTATGACGGATGAGCCAGCCACCACTGCGCTCGACCATATTTTAGGGAGCCCAATGACCCGGCCCACCACGCCGCCACAAGTCTGGACATTTTAGTGAGCATGACTACTCAAAACACCAGACACGTCACAGCTACTCACATTGCGTGTGTATTATTATTTTATTATATGTATGAAGGTATCCTGATATTTGAGATTTTACCTTATCAAAATCCGTTCTGAGTTTTTTGCGGGAAACAGTAACATCCATCCATACTCACAAACTTCCGCATTTATAATATTAATAGTATTTAGAGGAGTTTTCAATTTTTTTTAATTTATGCGTAAAAACATTACACAGATTACCATGTATATGACACACACTTTTCACAATTTAACATTCAGTAAGACTATAGAGAAATAAAAAAGTGTATATATACTTTTTTGTTTATTCTTAAAGTCTATGGTCAAATTGAGAATAGATTAATATTGTTTACCCTTAATATTATTTGTCTGTAGTCTTACTGAATGTTAAATTAATTAAGACCGAATTTGAATCACTAGGCGGCCACTAGTTTACATTAAAAAAATAATACCTACACATATAAACACAAAAGTCAACATAAAAATCTTCCATCCGTCGGCCAATTCTCCATCCCAGATTCCCCGGTAATATTATACCATTAATGTTTCCTACCTGCTTCGTGCCTTTTTTAATAATTTCCCCTTTTTTTCTAGCCGATATCTAGCCACTATTATTTTGTCATAAAATATTTATCACAACATCTCGAGAGTATAGCTCTGATGTTGTGATTAGAATGGCTTTTTATATTATATTTATTTTGAGGTATGGTGTGAAGATATTTAAACTTATATCTTTCTTATACTAACTGTATTTCGCGATTTCGTCTGCGTGAAGTTGGATATATATTGGGCTTTTTATCATCTAAGTAGCAAGTTGTGATATATTGTAACATACTTATTGGTATTTTTCTTTAAACGCAGTATCTGTATCAGTTAGTGGACGAATCAATATATATTTTTATCATATTCCTATAGGCAAAAGTATATAAATATAGTATATCGGGTATCCCACAGGCACCACTAATTATTAAGTAAAATAACCACCGTGTTACTTGAAGTTGTTTATAGATGGAATCTGTTGAGATTTTACATTATAATTATTATGCTGTCTACTATATACATATTATACAAAGGTAATTTTTGTGTGTCTGGATATTCGGGATAATCTCCGCTAGTACATGCTGAACCGGACCTAGAGGAATGTGATTTTTTTTTTTTGGATGATAATGGAATGGTGCACCCGGCTGCGCTAACGGTTTACGCTGGCGGGGCACCAGTGGAAGATGATAAGATGAGCATGAGGTCAGGTCAGTTAGCCCATCGTGACAAGCTCACCAGGAATTTGTCACGATGGTTTCCAGGGGGAACCGCGTGGAGGTCAACCTGACGGATTGTTAGTAATGTGACACTAACAATCCCCTTTCGCCCCATGTGATAATATTACGCTAAGGCTAATGTAACGGAGATGTAAAATATTATATTTACAAAATTGTGGAATTGTGTCACATGCGAAGTTGCACGGATTAGTGAATTTTATATAAACAATACGATGTATGGATGTATGTTTGTTACTCTTTCGAACTAAAATTCCTGAATTGATTTGTATATGATTGCAGTCAGATCATATCCCAAATTACCCGAAACTACGCAGGCAACGTTGCGGGATATGTTAATTATGTACTGTATCTGTACTGATCACTGAACGTTGATAGAACAGATAAATGATGCGAAAGTCCAGGATACTGGGGAAGGTCCAGATTTTCATAATCTGACCGATTATCATTTGTCTGATGTAGGAGTCAAGAGTCTCCAAAATTACCGTGGATGTATGAGACCAGTTATAAAGTGAATAAAGCAAGAATTTTGTTCATAAATGTTTATTCTAAGCTTATTTGAATAAAGGATTTTCTGTTTTTATTTCTATTAATGGCAATTTGATCTCCCACTCTACCGCGATAGAGGCTACGACATGTGAATGTAAAAAGATAGATATATAAAGGATCCAGGGGGGGTCATGACCGTAACTTAAAATAATAGTTTGTGGGGGTCATCAGTCTCACCTATTGAAGCAACCAAGAAGCAGATTGCTGTTTAGGCTGTTTTGGTTATAGGATTTCATAAAACAGTGAAATTACAGGATCTCATATATGACATCTTAGACCTTTGTAATAGCAACACATAAGTGGTACTATCACGGCCGTCACATGATAACGTGATGTCCATAGTAAAGTTTACTATAATATAGGTTGTTACCGCTTACCATCACATTGTTTGTATCTAATATATAAAATTCTCGTGTTGAGGGTCTGACCAATGTTGTGAAATGTTGAGCGTATATTCAGAAGGTTTGAGAAAAGGGGGTAATCTTTTTGTACCCCTAAGTAATAACAGTGGTCCATCCAAAAATTTCTTTGTTATATTTAGACAATTTACAAAACTTTCGTCGGGTCAGCAAGTACCTAATTACAATAGTAAGGAGTGCATGGAGTAGAATTTCTCTACAATGTCTATAAAAAAAGGCGTGAAGTAACGGTTCCGTGTATGGTGTAAGCGACAGTCGAAACACCATTAACTTGATGGTTAAATAATGAACATCATTTGTCAACCCTTTGCTCTACTTCGTAGGTAATTTTTTTGGATCTACCTATTTTAACACCTCGTTGACATCAAACCTTGTACAGTTTTTTTTAAACTGTAATGGTAATCAGTTTTTGAGCTATTTGGTGGTGTTACTGGAGAGGGAACACAACGATTATTTTATTGAAAATCAGAATAATAATGATAAATGTGTACATTTTCCGAAAGGGCTCACAGCGAAGTAACGAGTCAAAAGTCATATAAAAAACAGATGTCAAAAACATAAATTTCATAAAAAGAATTGTAGCCAAGCTGTTAGCAACAAATGGTAAATGGTGTTCCTCGCCTATATACAAGCACTACGGAAATCACGTTATCTATGCTACAATGGTGGCAAACAAGCATACGGCCTATCTGATGGTAAATGGTTACTGCAGCCTAAGGACGCTTGAGACACCAGGAGTGTCACGTGCGCCTAGCCGACCATTAAGAAACCTTAATAGACTCTTCTTGAAAAAGCCATCTCACGAGTAAACCTCGGCAGGTAGTTCATTCCACAATGTGTACGCAGAGGTAGCTCCTCTGACACCGCACTGTCCGAAACCACTTAGGTTCATGTATTTTATATATCTACCTCAGAAGTGAGGGACTTCATAAATTATTTGTACAAAACATGTGAAATAAATAAATTATTATTATTAACTATTGCATCAACTACCACCTATTTAATGAAATATTATAAGTATTCTAAAATGTTTGAAATTGATTTTTAATGTTCAATAGAAAATTAAAAATCTTTAAAGCGCCATCTATGATTTTTATCGGTAACTACTAAGTTTAGTGGAAGAGACTAAATAAAATGTAATAGGTTACTAATTTATTCAATAGAGGGCACTGTAAGGAATAATAGTAGTCAAGTATATTAAATATTATTTATTTTCTAGAAACGTCCATATCATATACTTTCTTAATAATTAAATTAATCACTTAATATAAGACAGAAAACTGTTTTATCAATTCAGTCTAATAGACAGCACGAATTCGGTTTTATACATAATTTTATTTAAATAGACTCTAATTAAATTTTAAATAATTATAAATAAATTATCTTAAATAAATTGTAACTAGTCAGATATATTTTTTATATATTCTATAATTACCAGCACCTTATTTGAGGATTTTGGAGATGTCATCAACGATGTATACCTATATGTGTAATACATACAATACCGAAAGTGTTTAATGTACTTATACAATATTATGAATAATATTTTCCATTACGTTGCATTACACTTCAACATATTACTTAGTATAAACTTTACATATTCATAACTTAACTGTAACTTTACATACAATATATATATATGGTATCTAATGTCTTATATAAATTAAAAAAAAAAGAACCAATGGCAATGTATATGGAATAGCAGAATATTCCTGACACAAGCATTGCTATCATCAGTAAGTGTTGGGATAACACTGTGTTATTGTAATCCAGTTGTTTTTTAAGAAATTAACATTTTTTAATATTCAATTTCATATACTACCTGCTCAAGTGTTCTTAATATACATACAAACGTTCCTCTTGAATCACTCTATCAATTGCTAAAAACTGCATTAAAATCCGTTGCGTAGTTTAAAAGATATAAGCAAACAGATAGCGTGAGCAACTTCGTTCTGGATTTTAAAGAAGAAAGAAAGAAAAAAAAAAGATTTTGGACTGTTATTATTATTATATAGCGCTATAATACATACACATTTTGCAGTATTAATATATTCTTATATACAATCTTTATAAATAATCTACAACTCATTGACTACATTTAGTCGCAGAGAGTCTATATTGTTGCAACGGCGAATCCAGGGGGTCATGAGGGTCATGACCCCTTCCTGAGCTGGTTCCAGGACTTAGGTGGGCCACTAATTGAACATAACGGTTTTATTTATATATTTTGACACCATACAGATTTTATGTAACTACATACCTTCAATATTTAATTAATTATATATAAATAGTGCTTCTCTGGATGTCTTCAAGAGACGATGGCAATATGTACCTGTATATGTACAAGTTCCTATGCGTTAAATGTACAATAAATAATAGTACAACAAATAATAATAAGTACAGGACTTCCGTACATTAATAAAATACCTACTTTTTACTTGTATCTATTGTTATCAAAATTAAATTATAAGTTCTTGACTTGACCACGACTATGTGACCCCCTCCTGGCGCCAAAGTTGACCCGCCCTAGTATTGTTGAATAAATTCACTACTCCAAGTCTATAGCTCACAACCTATATATTGTATGGAATAAGTGTACATTGCTGGTAGGTAGGTCACTTTACTTTACATACACAAAAACGAACCTTATATATACATACTAACTAACCTGGCAAACGCTGTATTGCCACATAAATTACTTTAATAAGGCCACTCTTATCACCTAACGTTATAAATTATATAGGGGAGTACGAGAATGTTAGTGATGTGGACTAATAACCCCAAGCAATGTACCACGTCCGGTTGACCCCCACGCGGTTCCTCCTGGAAACCATCGTAATAAATTCCTAATGAATTTGTCACAATGTCACACTTCCCCCTGGAAACCATCGTAATAAATTCCTAATGAATTTGTCACAATGTCACACTTCCCCCTGGAAACCATCGTAATAAATTCCTAATGAATTTGTCACAATATCACACTTCCCCCTGGAAACCATCGTAATAAATTCCTAATGAATTTGTCACAATGTCACACTTCCCCCTGGAAACCATCGTAATAAATTCCTAATGAATTTGTCACAATGTCACACTTCCCCCTGGAAACCATCGTAATAAATTCCTAATGAATTTGTCACAATGTCACACTTCCCCCTGGAAACCATCGTAATAAATTCCTAATGAATTTGTCACAATGTCACACTTCCCCCTGGAAACCATCGTAATAAATTCCTAATGAATTTGTCACAATGTCACACTACCCCCTGGAAACCATCGTAATAAATTCCTAATGAATTTGTCACAATGTCACACTTCCCCCTGGAAACCATCGTAATAAATTCCTAATGAATTTGTCACAATGTCACACTTCCCCCTGGAAACCATCGTAATAAATTCCTAATGAACTTGTCACAATGTCACACTAACTGACCTGACCTCATGCTCATCCTATCATCCTCCACTGGTGCCCTGCCTGCGTAAATCGTTAGCGCAGAAGAGTGCACCATTCCATTATCAAGCAAAAAAAGAAACTTATTCTCCCATCTATCAAATAAACATATATTTTTTATAAAATAAATTCAAGTTTCAGTGGTTTTCCATAACAAACATTGGACACCTCATATGATACGGTGAAGTTACAGACAAAAGAATCTTCCAATATTTTGTACATGGGAAAGTCACCACTAGGTTTTAAAAAGAAGTTAAGAAAACTCTCTCCAAAATAACCTAGCCGACTGCTACTAACTCCGTCTGCATGACTTACTTGACATTTATCATCATAAATGGCCCAATTTGCAAAATATCTTTTTAAATTATAACCTATACGTTATTCTGATGTATAAGCTATATTGCTGTAAAGTTTCATCAAAATCCGTTCAGTAGTTTTTGCGTGAAAGAATAACAAACATCCAACCATTCATACATCATACTCACAAACTTTCGCGTTTATAATATTAACTAGCTGACCCACGTAACTTCGTCTGCGTCATTTGACATTTCGCCCAACTTACAAAATATATTTTTAAATTATAGCCTATGTATCTTTCTGATGTATAAACTATATTGGTGAAAAGTTTCATCAAAATCCGTTCAGTAATTTTTGTCAGTAGTATCTGTACTCAGAAACTTTCGCTTTTATAATAGTAAGATACAAGAAAGTTAAAAAAAAATCCCTCGTCCAGCAGTGGACTGATGTGGGCATTGCTTTTTAAACTAAACATTACGAAGTCTATTTATTAATTCTAATCACACGTTTCTAATATGTTAATCCTTGTTCTTCCATTTTCTCTCTAATCTCCTGAGGTTTCGGCCATAACAAAATAAGAAGTGTCGATCCTGAAAGTAGAGTAATAAATTAATTATATTATTGGCTGTACCCGTGACTTCGTCCGAGTGGAATGTAACTTTATTTTTCTAAATATAAGAATTTTTCTTATATAAAAGTAGCTGAAAATAGCTAAAAGCTAATAGTAAAGTTGCTCCTTATTACATCAGCTACCTGCCAAAAAAGTCCCGTCAAAATCGGTCCAGCCATTTCAGAGATTAGCCGGAACAAACAGACAGACAGCCAGACAAAAATTGTGAAAATGTTATATTGGTGTACATATGTACCGTATTTATATTCATATGCATGTAGTAAAAAACGGTTATTTCAACATTACAAACAGACACTCCAACTTTATTTATATGTATAGATTAGATTCATATGAATTTGAGACTTATAGGATTTTTAGACAGAAAGCGAGTGCAGATAATAATAATAATAGGCTACTTTTATTTTAGAAAAATCTTTAATTTTAGAAAAATAAAGTTAAATTCCACGCGGACGAAGGTGCGTAAACAGCTAGTAAATTATAGTTATAATTTTGTATACTTTTATAAAAAAATTACTATTTGACAATAAATTAGAAAATTATTTGACAATAAATAAGAATTTATTGGATACGAGGAATTCAAATTGAAATTCAAAATTCAAAATATCTTTATTCATGTAGGTCTATTACAGACTCTTATGATATGTCAAATCTACCGTCAGTTCGGAATGATTTCGAGATGAGAAGAACTGACTAGAAACTTAGCTCGTATTTTTTTTTTAATGGTGTACATATTTAAAATAATACTATTTCATTTAAATTCAAATTTGGGAGAATAGAGTGACCACCAGCATATGATATATAAAAAAAAAATCAAAAAATCTATATAAAAAAAAAACAAGCAGCACCCGTACACGAGCGGATGAGCCAGCCATCATTGCACTCAACCATATTAGAGGGAGCACATCGACCTGGCCCACCACGCCGCCACAAGTTTGAACTTTATAGCGAGCATGACTGTTTCAAGTTACTCCACTACGTCATTTATATTATTTACAGCATATACTGTCGTATCCTATATATCCTATCGTATTATTACAATAGAAATCTTCTTCCTTCTTAAAAAGTTGCATTTATAATATTACTAGCTGCGCCCGCGATTTCACCCGCGTTAACTTTCAATATATAAATTTCAAAAAAATACTTAGCTTATATGTTATTCTGATGTATAAACTAAATTACTGTAAACTGTAATCAAAATTCGATTTTGCCGGAGAGTAACTAACATCCATACTTACAAACATACGCGTTTATAATATTACGATATTACCTGCAGTGAACACTCCCAAGAGTATGAAGGCTGTCAAACAGTAGGTATTGAGGGTGGCCCCCAGCAGGTAGGACCCCACCGCTGCACCAGTCCGACCCACCATGTACATTATACACATTGCCATCGCCCTGGAATAAATTATAAAACATTAATGTATTTTGAAGGTCTCAGTGATTTAACTGTTTAGCATACGTTACTTCCGATCTTCGCAAGTTCGATTCCTAGCACCATTATAGGTGCCATTTGGTCTTGATGTAATGCGAAGCTAAAAAAAGCTAGTATATGGCATTAAAAATGACGATACTGCCATGAAACCCTTCATCACCCCTTTCAACCCCTTACAACCCTTTTTCTTTATTTATATTCAATCAATAATCTAAAAATAAGTTTCAATCTTCTAGCTTTAAATGTGTCAATACTTCTATACAATCTTTCACCTCGCCTTTCAACCCCTTACAACCCTTTCTTTGCATTAATAAGTAGCCTATGTCCTTTCTCAGGGTTTAGGCTATCTTTTTATCAAATTTAATTTAAATCAGTTCGGTAGTTCTGACGTGAAAGCGAGACAAACAGACAGAGTTACTTTCGTATTCATAATATCAGTAAGGATTATTATTATCATGATAATTGTATATCTAGCTTTATAAATGCCGATACTTCCATGCAACCCTTCATCATACCTTTCAACCCGTTACAACCTTTTTTTTATATTTATACATTTTACGCAAACGAACTCACAGGTACAGCTGGTATAACATAAAAGTTCCCATTCATTCATAATTTAAGAGCTCTTGTCGGTCCACCGAGAGCTCCAGCTCTTGCCATTTCCCACGGCCTGACGGAATCAGGCTCTTTAAATGTTGATAAAGATGCCATTCCCAAAGATCCCATACGAGAGCTAAATAATAGTATAGAAATCAATATAACTTTGAAATGATTTATGATATTATAGTTACCGTAAACAAGTGGGGAAGACGTCGACGGCAATTGCTGCGAGGATGGAGGCCGCACAGCCCGAGCACAGCGCCGCAACCAGTAGGGCGGTGGCGGCGCCCCCGTGAGGCACCAGCGCAGCGCCCGCGGTCGCCGCTCCGCACAGCAACATTATACCACCTACCAATAATATATAAATGTTGAGAAACTCTTTCGATAATATATATAAATCCGATATTAAGCCATATAAACTAAAATCGCTATCAAAAAATAGGAGTTGGTGATAGAAGGGTGAAAATTTAGAAATTTAGGGTCGTATGTTTTTTTAATGCCACATTATATAAAGATAAAAAAAAATTACCAAAAAATAAAAATATAATGTTAGGGGTGGACAACCCTTATCACTTAGGGCTATGAAAAATAGTATTCTATTCTCAGACCTACTGAATGTGCATATAAAATTTTATAAAAATCTGTCAAGTCGTATTGGAGGAGTATGGTAACTAACATTAACACGTGAGTTTTGTATAGAAGACGAGAATTTTATATATAAAAATATAATAATATGTTTTCTATGACAAGTGAGAAAACACTTGTATATACACTTGTATTTATTATATTACAACACTTGACATGTCCATATTTGGCTCGGTATAAATATATAGGTACTGAACGAAAATTCCATAGAATTCAATGTGGCAATGCACGGAACCTACTGCATTTCTCGTATTAATTTTTGGTTTGGTATCAGTGTTTCCTCCAACATAGTTACATAAGTTGACATACACAGTTGCCTTTTTATCTCGGCTATAGAATCCCGAAACTGGTCTGTTCGGGTTATGGCCACTGATTACAATATTTCTTTTGACCAAAATGCAATAATGTATGCTGGTGGTCTCAATATTCTCCGTAATGTAATTTAAAAATGAATCTGTATTTTTGTAATCATGTACAAGCTCATTTTAAAAGAATAAGATTTGAGTTTCCTGTCTGTTCTTCTCATCTCGAAAGGACTCCAAATTGACGGTGGATTTGAGATATCTAAAGAGTCTGTGATAGTACTACATGAATAGATATGTTGTGAAAATGTTGATCTGGGTCCATAAAAATATTTTAAATGACTTACAGTACAATATCTGCCGTCCAATCTTGTTTATGAAGAGGCCAATCGCGAAGTATGTGAGAGCGAACACTACTCCCATCCCCATGGAGATGGGGAACACGCCAATAGCCACATCGGTCGTACACGTGTTGTTTAACTGCATCTGGTACATAAATATCATTGATTATTGAGAGTTTTTTAATAGATGTTAATGAAATTGTGCACCCGTACTAGCAGTTTACGTTAACCTACAAAAATCCAAAGGTTTCCATCGAAGATCCCCGCGTGGAGGTCAACTTAACATGGTACATTGCTATCAATGGGGGTCAAAAGTCCACATTACTAATAATCCCCTTTCGGGGGGAAAGGGGATTGTTAGTGATGTGTACTGATATGATCTTATTGCTAGCAATGGACAATGATCTCCACGCGGTTCCCCCTGGAAAGCATCGTTCTTGGTGAATTTGGTGGCTAACTGATCTGACCTTATGTTCATCTTATTATTCGACACTGGGGCCTCGCTAGCGTCAGCCGTTAGCGCAGAAGGGTGCATCATTCCATTATCATCCATAAAAAAATTGAAATTGAAATTTGCACAAAGTTTTCTGCATGTAAATTTATATATACATCATCGCAATTTATTATATTTCCACCAGTTATCAAACAACAACATTCACTTACATTAAATTCACTTTCCTTCCGTATCTTTTCATGTATGATTTCGCAGATTGTAATACTGCGGTCACTTGTACTTTGAAGAATGTTGTTTAGTATCTCTGGCACCCATACGTATAGACCGCTTGAACTGAAATCATATTACAAAATATATTTTTTAATTTCTACGTACTCGTTTCAAAATCATTGTTGATGGTAAAATTATAATATCTCCAAGATAATAAATCTAAATTAGATGACACCAAAAACTTTGTGACTTACGACTAGCTATCGGGTGATAGGAAATTTCGATGACGTACCAAATAGACTTCGAGAGATCACGGTCTATTTTGCATAGCAGCATACACAACCGTAGACAAAACATTTAATATAAACAGAAACAATCTTTATTCATATAAACTTAATTAGGAACGCAGACTCATAACAAGAAAAACAAACAAGAAATTTGCAATTTGCTCATTTAAATAAATGTTGTTCAGAAATACATTGTTAAGAATTTTGAATGAATACAAACTGCCAAATTGCAAAGTTGATATAAATAATTGAATAGTTACTTGAATAACAAAATAAATCAGTTATTGCTGAGAAATAATACGATGTTGTCGGTTAAGACGATGTGTATTACAGGTGATAATAGACTGACAAAATTTAAGTAACGACAGGAAAATGTAAGGTGGGGTGACATAGTTTAGACACGGCAGTGCTTAGTATACTATATTGATTTTGAAATACTAGCCATAATTAATTAACTGCGTCCCATATCAGTCATAGTTATCAGAGCAGGTCAGCCCCAACAAGCAGCACCCACCCCACATAATAAACCTAACCCTATAAACATTGACCATTCTATTTACTACTTACAGCATAAACACCGCGAACATCGACACGTGAGAGATCAACACACAGCGCAGTAGAGGTGGCCTGAACATTAACATGATGTTCTTGAGAGCGCCAACGAAGCCTGTTTTCTGTGACTCCAAACTGACTGTCAGTATTTTCTCCACCTGAGGAATGACCAAGGAGAAGTAAGAAGAATGCGAGAGTGATTTCTGAACCAGACACTCGACTAAATATTATGAAGGCAATTGAGGGCATGTCTCCAACTTTTTTTATGTAACTCATATGACAAACAGTTTTCCAGATCGTAAGTGCAAGACGTACATAGAACGTATCTGTCAGGCAGGAGTTAGCATTCAGCCGCTTCATAAGTCCTTCCGTTGATGTGAAGTATACTAGTAAGAGTAATCGTCTATCATGATATATGTAAAGAAATGAGTGCGTACAAATAAAGAGAATATTATAAAGAAAGTATTATATATGAATGTGGATGAATTACTTATGAAGATATAAAGGGCAAGGGGAAAGGTGTGAATGATGATATAACAAGAAAGGCGAGATAACTGCCAACAGGGATCAATTGTAGATAAAACATATGCCATACGGCAATCCCAAAATTATGGAATAAGAATGAAACAGATGATGTAATTTAATTAAAATTATACATACCGGGAAATTATCAACTGATGCACCACGATTCCAAGCGTACATCTTCGCCAGAACTGACATTGCAGCATCAGGGCCCCTCGAAGCCAGGAGGAACCGAGGGCTTTCTGGCAGAAACAGTAATGCGAATGCAGCCATCAGCCCTGGAACGCACCAGGCCCAAACAAAGGCTCGCCATGGTACAATAATTAAACTGCCAATAGTGAATGACCATTTCCCGGGGATTATTAACCACGCGAGACCTAGAATGTAATCAATTAGAATTAATTACACATCTGAGATGAGATCTCATTTAGAAGGTAAATACACATCGGAAAAGTTTTGGCAGTCACAGAATAGACTGTAAAAAATCGTCTGCGTGGGTCGAGAGTCCGACCAGTTTTAGCCGCCAAGCAGTACTTTTTAAGTAAGTAAGTAAGTACTTTTTAACATATTATGATTGTAGGATGCAACTAGAAGGTGAAGTCACTGTATAAAGGGCACTGCATGTTCGTCTTCTAGAATGGCAATGCATGAGTATCATGGGTGTTATATGATAACGTAAAACCCATGATACTACTTATGCATGTCTGTACTGCTGTTTATGTATATAGCCGACGGATATAACTTACCGTCAAGTGGATCCTCAGTTTATTTGCCATTCGAGTTACACTAAAAAATCATACATACATCGCGTATAGACACTTATAAAAAAGCTATAAAATTCCAGAGGATGTAGGTGTTTCAACATCCAGGCCAGATATATTCTTCTCTTCGGAAAAAAACTAAACGTGTAATATTGGTCGAACTCACTGTTACATCGGAAACAAGTATACCTAATGACCATACAATAAAAACTATAAATAAATATTACCAACTTTTTTCCGAACTAACGAAAAATGGCGATGTGGTTAAATTATGCTATCGAAGCGGGAGTAAGCAAGCTGAGGACCCACCAGATGGAATGTGGAAACTGCTACTATAGACAACCCTACCTATAGGTAACCCTACCAGAGAAATCTCTCTACAATCCTCTAAAAGAACTTGCTTCTCTGAACTGCTGTAAGTTCTGGTTCTTTCACACTGGTGAAACTACAATTATCTATAATTCTTTTGCATGTCTATATGTAACAGTTTCCACTTTCCATCTGGTGGTCCTCAGCTTGGTTACTATTTTAGTTACATCCAAAACTACGACTGTTTATTGAGTTAATTTTAGTAAACATAGTGTGTGAAATGAATGGATTACATTGACATTCGACCTCATCGTGTGGTGATAAGAATTGTACCAGATCTGACGTAAGGACTGACGTAACTTATATGAAAAAGTATTAAGATACTAACAATTTTAATTAAGAATGGAATAGTGTATTGGGGAAAAAACAGATTGTTAGGAATTAGTGACTCAATACTAAAAATGTAGGGAATTGTTGTTAGCATAAACTCTCTTTCAGAAGCCATCGAGAATGGTCATAACGAATTTGCTGCAGTGGGCTAATTGACCTTGCTATCATTATCGTAACATCTTCCAGTGGTGTGGGCTAATCGAGACTCTCCACTATTGGAGAGTCTCGGGGAATCACTATAAGATGATACGATAAATATAGTAAGGATAATTAGCCTACTGCAGCAAAGTTGCATCCTTCTGGAGTCAGCAGACAGGATCGCATTCCATTATCATCGAAATAAAAATTCTAGTCATTTCAGCATTTCATGACTATGACACACATTACAAATCACATATGGATTACAGCAGATCACAGATGGAATGCACTACGCATTCCATTATCTTTCTTCTCATAATCAGAAATAATAAAAAATCTCTAACATGTCATTTATTCAGCATTTTCATGATTTATTAGCTATGAATTAATATAAACCTGATAAAAATATAAAAAAATTATATAATTTAGTAATTAGCTGAATTTGGTGCTCTAATCTCGTACAATATTGACAATCTTTGAAGAACAAACTCTCAGAAAAAATCAAGAATTAAAATGTTCCAAGCACATTTTTATTCATCCATATCATCCATTTGCCAAATTTCATACGTTTGGCATTTACAAGTCGCCAAACTTTCACTTACCTACTAATATTTTTGTGGTCCTATAAGGTCTATTAAAAAATAATATTATGTAATTTTATAAAGTTATTCATCACTAACCTGGCAGTATGATGAATGAGAGTGATATAAAAATAGATCCCCAGGCGATGGACGAGGCACGGCGAGTGTTCATGTGCATTTCTCCAAGATAAGCATACACAGTTGCACTGGATGCTGAAACTCTGGAAACAAAAATCATTGTTAAGATCCTGTGTCGTGTAAAGGCTAGCTAGTTTTACACGACACGTTCTTTCACACGTTTCAAATCCGGGATAGATGTGTTTGTGAAAAAAGGCAGAGAAAGAGAGAAAGAAAGAGATTTTTTATAACCTATAATTATATGCCTTTACACGACAGATTCGTTCACGCACAATCAGGAGCGCGTGTACTTTAGCGCGGGAAATCCAGCACGCGCAATCGAGAGTGATTGCATTTACTTAACTATTTTTTGTGTGCACTCGTTCGCATGTAATATGTAATGTATTCAAATAGAGTTTTTATTCCACAGATTTTATTTTCCAAAGACTCGTTTAAGATATAAAATATCAATTACTCTATAATTATATCTTTGCTCCGTAGTCAGATCTCTGCCATTTTGCAATGATAATTAATTATTATAAATAAACGCTAAAGTACGCATGATTGAAGTACGTTCTCGTTGTCATTCTTTGATCAGTGAAATGATGCTGTTCGTGTATGTATGAGATAGCAACCACTTTCCATGAAATGGACTTTCAGATAAAAAATTCTGAAAAAGTATTGTCTATCCTCCTTTATTAAAGACCAAGGTAAAAAGATATTAGTCTGGTGTTTTGAGTAGTCATGCTCACTAAAATGTCCAGACTTGTGGCGGCGTCATTGGGCTCCCTAAAATATGGTCGAGCGCAGTGATGGCTGGCTCATCCGTCATACTCGTGAACGGGTGCTGCTTGTAGGGACTGGTCTGCTCTAATCACTATGACTGATTTCCTCTTATTAATTGTTTAACCAGTTGGTTATGTATTCAATATTTTTTTCTTTTTGAGTATTTAATTGAATTAGTGCTAATCGGTGGTTTGTAACACACTTAAACTAAATTGTAAGTAAGAATAAATTATTTAAAAGAGCAACACACAAGTTTCTTGCTTGTTCTTCTTGTGATGAGACAGCATTCCGAAAGAGCGGTAGATTAAAAAAAAATGTTATGACTATTCAAAAGTGCTTCAATGTAAGTTTATTTGAATAAATGATTTTCTATTCTATTCTATTCTATTCTATTAAAATAGTGAAATTATTGTAACCACATGTGTATTAACTATCATAAGCCAAGTATTTGATAACTAAAAATATATAGGTTATTGGATCTAGACACGATTTAGTCTATAATTACGAATATTAAACAAATTTTTAAAAGTATTTGATCAATCTACAGTAAACTTACAAGCATCCAGTCAAGAAGCGCAACACCACCAGCATCCATACGCTAGTGGAGAAGGATGAAGCAACTGAGAAAAAGGCCGAAAACACGAGGGCCGGCAACATGACTGTCCTGCGACCAAACTTGTCACCCAAGTAGCCCCAGAGAAATGATGTACTGATGATGCCTGCGAGAATAAAAATATATATCTTCATGGCAGATTGCTTACAAGTTGGTAAGAAAACGGACTGCCCCTATGGCAGTCCGTTGGAAAGTTAATCTCTACGTGGTTTCTGGAAACCATCATGTTAAATGTCTGGTGAATTTGCCACGATGGGCTAACTGACTTGACCTCATACTCATCATATAATCCTCCACTGATGCCCCACCAACGTATATCGTTAGCGTGAGTGCTGTATCACTCAGAGTGGATGATGTAGGAGTATCTGAAGCTCCAAGGAGGCGAGTGGTCCGTTGAGGCTCCTTCAGTGGAGAACGCAGCAGCGTCTTAGCCGAATGCTGATGCAAACCCGAGACGTCGAAGACTAATCGCGTATGAGAGAAACACCAAATTCAAATACAAAAATAATTTATTTATGTAGGAAATTTTAGCCGCTTATGAACGTAATTTTTTTTATATTATAATTTTTGCCCTAGCGTTCAATTCATTATACAGGTTCAGTTGAGAAGAACTATCAAGAAACTCAAGCCTTGAGTTTCTCGACAGTTCTTTCATTTATTCATTCATTTTCATTTACAATGTATATGTATATACAATAGGTATCTATGTCTGATATTAAATAAAAATTCCGTGCATGAACAACTATTGTATGCATGCTCGTCATTCAAGTAATCGTTTAGTGAGTAATAGACTTTGCTCAGTAAATATGATTTAACAGATGTTTTCAATTTATTAAATTCCACCGGGGGTTTTGGTGGCTAAGAATCCTACACTATCCGACATAATAAAGGAATGGAGCACTCATTTTTTTTTTTAGAGAGCGCTCCATTCCTTTATCATCCCTTAAAAAAAACCGAGTACCATTAGGTGCCTTTTACACGACACGTTTTTTACGCGCAAAAGGGAGCGCGCGTGATTTAGCGCGGAAATACAAGCGCGTCAATTTGAAATGTCAACTTTTGGTGTCTTTGTGAACAAGTACACTTTTGTGCACTTGGCATGACTATATTCCACTTTTGAATCCAACATGTTGGGTGCAAAAATATTGTTTGTGATCACTCTTTCATCCTTGAAACATAGGTGCGCAAGTGTGATCACAAACAATATTAAAACTCATTCACGGCGGCAATATATCAAGTGAAATGAGGGCATGCAAAATGCAATATTTATTCACAATGACACCAATAGTTGATATTACGTTTCAAATTGTATAGTTTTGAAGGTATATCATTGTTATAGAAAAGTACTGTTGAGTTTTTCATAACCTACTCATAGATAAGATAAAGTTAACATACATGAAAAAGCGTTGCTTTGATGTTATACGATGGTTTTATTAACTACAGATAGATATTTTGAAAGCCTCGGTAGTGTAGTGGTTTAGCATACTGCTTTACTTTCGATGGTTGCGGGTTCGACTTTTCACGCGATGCAAATATATACCGTATTTATATATATATCATGTATGTAGTAAAAAACGGTTATTTCAATATTATAAACAGACACTAATTTTATTTAAATGTATATATTATATTTAACCCTAGTAATTTAGTGCTAGTTGATAGTTTGTATTCACACGTTGCGACTTAAAAATGTAAACTTACAACGATTATTTAAAAGAGCAACATACGAGTTTCTTTCTCATTCTTCTTGTGATGAGACAGCATTCCGAAAGAGCGGTAGATTAAAAAAAATTGTGATGACTATTCAAAAGCGCTTAAAGTAAGTTTATTTGAATAAAGAATTTTCTATTCTATTCTATTCTACTGTATATTAACTCATCTACTGTCTATGTAGGGTGGAAACCCGTTCGAGATTGTACAAATATTGCAGTCAAACTTACCAATAAAAGCAGCTGCATTGACAAGACCTTTATGTTCAGTTGTGAGCTGCAGGTCACACTCTGCTGCTGTGATGACGTAACTCATGCCGATGGACTCCATTGACACGTTGAGCAGTATGAGCCCACTGGTGATCAGCACCAGGTGATTGAACTTCCCATGGCCTGGACATGGATATGTTGTTTACTAGCTGTGCCCGCAGTTTCACCCATGATATTTATAGACTGTGTTATTCTGATGTATATGCTATATCACTGTAAAGTTTCAACAAAATCCGTTCAGTACAATTTACAAAAAAATGTATATAAGTATCAGCGTCATCTAGTTCCAAGCTAAGTAGAGATTCTGTTATGAGTAGGTACTAGACAACTGATATAAATACTAAGAAATATATTTTTTCTTTGCAGTAATATAAGCTGTATTACTGTAAAGTTTAGTCTATATATAAAAAAAACATCTATTCAAAAGAGCAACACACAAGTTTCTTGCTCATTCTTCTTGTGCTGAATCAGCATTCCGAATGAGTGGTACAATCAAAATATGACTATTCAAAAGTGTTTGTAATGAGTTTATTTGAATAAAGATTATTTCTATTTCTAGTCAAAATCGGTTCAGTAGTTTTTGCGTGAAAGAGTAACAAATATCCATACGTACAAACTTTCGCGTTTATAATAATATATATTAAAATTAAGAGAAGACTAATAAGATCACTGATTAGACTATTTACTTTTGAAAAAATTGCAATAGCATTTGCTGGTGGTGACTCTATTCTGTCTAATTTGATTTAAAAATGAATCTGTATTATTGTAAACATGTACAACATTTTTTTAAAAAGAATACCAGCTGAGTTTTTTGTCAGTTCTTCTCATTTCGAAATCATTCCGAACTGACGGTAGATTTGACATATCTTAAGAGTCTGTAATAGACCTACATGAATAAAGATATTTTGATTTGATTTGCATGTCCCTTTCCATACAAAACGTGATACTATGAAAATTTCAACGTTTCACAATAATCAGATTTTCTTCAAACAAGTTGTTTTACTTGAAAAACTTAAGTTTCACCAGAAAAAAGAACCTATCTTTAGTTCAGTCGTGTGAACAATCCAAGTCTGTCTGGCTAAGCATATGAAATCTGCAGAAATCAATAATCAAACAAACAAACTCATGAATACACGTGAACATACATGTTTGTACTGTGCGAGGAATCAAACCCGCGACCATCGGAAGTAAAGCCGTGTGCTTAACCGCTACACCACCGAGGCCGTCAAGACGAAAGAGATAGGTATGCTATTTTAATATCATAAAATATTCTGTACATACCAGCAACTTCAAAGGCATCTTCAAAGAATAGCTCCCGTTTCTTGCTATCAGTTGATTTATCATATTCCATTTTCACCAAAATACTTTCCTATCTCCATTCAAAGTGATCTAGATAATTGTTGGTCTAATTGATTACAACGGTTATTCCTCGATTTCACCCGTAGATTTATTTAAAAGAAAATCCTTAGAGATGTTAGTAATCTGTGGAACGTTTATAGTGTGTATCTGTAATTATTTGAATCTTAAATAGAGTGGAATGGATTGTTTTTATTTATTACCAGCTCACCCCGCTAACTCCGATCCGCCTCAAAATTAAAATATAAGGTTTTTTTAAGTTTAGTTACGCAATAAATTTCTGAACGCACCCTGTTTGACAGGTATCAGCAATTTGTTTAAACCTTCCCTTTTTTTTATACCACGTAGGTGGCAAACAAGCATACGGCCTAACTGATGGTAAACGGTTACCGTAGCCTATGGACTGAAACACCAGGGGTGTCACATGCGCGTTGCCGACCCTTAAGAAACCTTAATATACCCTTTTTGAAAAACCCCATGCTGTAGTCTCTCTAGAAAACCTCGGCAGGTAGTTCATTCCACAATCTAAGTGTACGCGAGAGGAAGCTCCTCAAAAACCATACTGTCCGAGTCCCTGGACTTCCACGAATTTTTCAAGACTAAAATTAGCCAAATCGGTTCTGCCGTTCTCCAGTTTTAGCGAGACTAACGAACAGCAATTCATTTTTATATATATAGATGGATGATAATGGAATGGTGCAACCGCCTGTGCTAGCGATTGACACTGGTGGAGCACCAGAGGAGGATGACAAGATGAGTCAGGACAGTTAGCCCATCGTGGTAAATTCACCATGAATTTATCACGATGGTTTCATAGGGGAATCACGTGGAGGTGAACCTGACATGGTACATTGCATTGGGGTTATTAATCCACATTAGTAACAAACCTCTTCCTCCCTGGAATGGAATACTAACCCCATTGGTAATAATTTTCCATGTTCGACCTCCACATAGTTCCCATAGAAACTTTTGGCTTTGGGCAAATTCCTCACGATGTGCTAACTGACCTGACTTCGTGTTCATTCTATCATCCTCCACTGGTACCCTACCAGCGTATACCGTTAGTGCTGGTGGGTACACCATTCCATTACCTTCCATTAAAAAACCTATTATAAATATCTTTGGATTATCGTAAAGTCCAGGGGTCATAAAGTAAATTTTTTTTTTTCATACACCTAGCACTTATCCTATATATTTTTTCATACACCTAGCACTTATACTACCCTATCTTATATTAGTATTAGTACGTATCGATAAAATTATGTCTATCTGCAGTTTATGTAGAGAATATTTATTTTCAATTAGCTTTTTTCTATTACTTTGTTTTTAAATTGATTTATATAAGCCTATATCCGTGATACAATAATATTTCAAGTAAAATTCAATCCTGAGAAGGTAAAAAATAGACACACTTCTCAATTTTAATTCGATCTTAATTCCAGAACTTATTTCATAACTGTTTGTTGTTATCTCAAATCTCTTAAATTTATATATATACAAGCTGTGCCCGCGGTTTAACTTGCGTGAAATTTATAGCCTACGTGTTATTCTGATGTATAAGCTATATCACTGTAATATTTCAACAAAATCCGTTCAGTAGTTTCAACGAGAAAGAGTAACAAACATTAATTCAAACTCACAAATTTTCGCATTTATGATATTAATAAGATATATATTTATATACAGTTAAGTTCTTGATAAGTAACAATTGCCTAAATATATATAATAAATAACATAGTTTATAAATAACATAATATGTAGAGTCACCGCCCTCTATACGTACAGTTATAATTGTATATACTCTGCCAAGTGCATAATAACTATTATTTATATATAATTATATAATTTTAACACCACATTGGTTTGAGGAAACACGTTTTATAATATGAACACGTGTTATTTTGTTATTACTGTTCTTAACGCGTCGATGTGTAGTACAATGTACTGGACGGCGACTCTACCGTCGCCGAGCATATGGTATGCACTACTAAATATAGCGACTCTATAATGTGTATTCGTTCCGATGCAGAGTTGCCAGTTGACATTTTAATTTACCCTAAAATTTTAAATTAATTTAACTTTCCATTTTTCATTTAGTCAAGTAGAAATAGAAATAGAAATAATCTTTATTCAAATAAACACTTTCGAATAGATATATTTTTTATTATACCACTCATTCGGAACGCAGATTTATCACAAAAAGAATGAGCAGGAAACTTGTGTGTTGCTAACTTGTCTTTTGAATAGTTGTTTTTTTCCTATATAAATAATTACACAATAGAAAGTAAGAGGCATGCGATAATCAACATAGAAACCGCACTTGCACTAAGAATGAGTGTGTAACTCATTCTTAGTGCAATCTGATAATATTGTAAGTATTGAAAGGAATGTCTGAATGTTGGATGTAATGAATGAATGAAAAAGGAGTGAAAGGAAACTATCTGTCAAATAAAACATAGATAAAATATATATTTTATTATAATAAATAGGCACTCCAGTCTATATGATATAGATTTGCGAGTCTTGTGTAGTAATACATTGAAAAAATTTAAACGGTATATATATATTACTTTAATAGTTTATTAAACTAACTAGTAGATGCAAATATCTACATAACAAAGATATTTAATAAGTATCGCCATGTATATATTCTTTATGGCACAGATAATACAATGATATTATAATTTAGAGATAATGTGAGCAAAGGTGGACTTATGCCGAGAAGAAATCTCTTCCAGTCAACCTAAAACAGTGGCATAGGTGTACTGAGTGGGTAATAAACTGGTGCAAAAAAAAATGTTAAACGCTGCTAAATCAAATACGAATAACAAATTGCATATATCCATTGATTAAGTAAAATATACTTAGATTGTGCAATGAACTTCCTGCCGAGGTTTTCTCACGAGACTACAGCATGGGGTTTTTCAAGAAGGATATATTATGGCTTCTTAAGGGTCGGCAATGCGCACGTGATACCCCTGGTGTTTCAGGCGTCCATAGGCTACGGTAACCATTTACCATCAGATGGGCCGTATGATGGTTTGCCACCAGCGTAGTATAAAAAAAAATCACAAGTAGATGTAATAAAATAATTAAAATTATGAGTCTTATATAAAAAAAAATTCTACGGCGTGATTCAGCGAAGACTTATATATGAGTACTGTGACTGTGTGAGTGAGTGACATTACATATAAGTGTACACGAGAATGCAATAATATTTTAATGTCACATCCTTAAAATTACCCACATTTTTGTGCAATAATTCGCCAAGTGGCAACACCTTTCCCAAGCAACATGACTAACGAGTATAAAGGCTATCACCCATTACAATCGCGTTATTTCGTCACAGCAAACAACTTGCCAAGCAGAAGAATATATTTTCTTAGTTTTTTTAGTTTTCCCTTCAAACGATCCCTCGTCCAATTCAAATGGAGATCGATATTACAACGGCCTGAGCCGAGGTTCGAACCCCTAGCGGTGCCCTCAGACTAAAGTCATATTCGTCAGGCGGGAGTTGGCCTTCAGCCACCTCATAAGTTCTTCCGCGGGTTTGGAGTGCCATCTGCTCTCGCCCCCTATCGTCCGGATAAGCTGTCCCAGTTGGCCATTAGAGTAGTCTCTTACCTCATTCCAGATTCTCTGAAACTTAGCCCACATCTGGTCTTTGTTTTTCGGTCGTTCTTGGGTCAATTGCAAGACGAATCTTGACCTTCTGCCACATGTGCTCGATTGGATTCATGTCGGGAGATTGCGGGGGCCATGCCAGAACCTTTAGACGCAGGTCTCGGAGACATTTTCGGGTCGTCAAAGCTGTATGCTTTGGGTCATTATCGTGCTGAAAGATGACGCGTGACTTTTCAAAGCCATACCATTCAATAGTCTAGTGAAGTTCATCTTTAAGGATGCCTTGATAGAGTTCCGAGTTCATATTTCCAATGATCCTAGTAATATATCCGGGGCCATCGGCAGTGATACAGCCCCATACCATGATATTTCCTCCGCCATGCTTCAGCGTCGACTCAATGACGCGGGTCTCTAGCGTTTTACCTGGTCGTTTCCAGCACCACTTGCGGCCATCAGAGCCCACAAGATTGACCTTCGTCTCGTCAGAGAAGATGACCCTACGCCAATCCTCCTCCGTCCAATGGCGGTACATCTTAGCCCATGCTAGCCGTATTTGCCGATGACGCTTCGTTAAAAGCGGCTTGCGGATCTTATTACCAGATCGAAGCTTGGCCTTCTTGAGTGTCCGACGTATAGTTTCGGCACTTGTGGAGACGTCCATGGCATTGGTAAGGTGTCGTTGGACCTCTACGGCAGTATCCATGGCCCCCGAAGTGATAAGCCTCACCACATACCGGGCACTGGACTCTGATAACTTCCTTGGGCGCCCTTTTGAGGGTGGGGCAACAGCGGCGCAGTGTTCCTTTCGTATCCTAGCAACAGTAGACTTACTCACGGAAAGTTCTTGGGCCACCCTACGGGTGGATACGCCTTCGTTAATTCGCTTGATAACTTCGGATTTGAGGGCAGGAGAAATAGGCTTCATGGTCAGCAAGTTGTATGAAAAGTATTGGATGAGAGAGGGAGGAAGTAGATATATTTCCAGTTAGCTATTCGAGTGTTTTTATCTTCAGTGGGTAGGTAGATCGAACGGAATATCACATATATCGTGAGATTGTCCTAAACGGTCAAAAATGCCCCAATAGTTTTTATATTTTACAGTGGCATAAGTTCATAGCCTGCCAATAGTAATTCATCATTGGCGGCTTATTCGAAAGCCAAGAAGCAGGGCTATCACATACTAGCAGTTCAGGTTTATTAATTGTATCCTCATATCATAACAGGCGATGGAATGCGAAATGGTCAAATATTGGGGCATTTTTGTGAGTCACTGTATATATCGTATATCAGGTTAGTTATAAGCATAAAACTTTTTAAAAAATCTGTATAATCTTATTGTAAAATTTACCATATAGTACTCAATTTAAAGTCTATATTTATAGCACAGTGATGTATAGATTTTTTTGCTACGGCAGCTATACATCGTATATCAAGTCAGAAGTATAAACCTGTTAAAAAAATCTCTATATTCTTATTGTAAAATGGACCCTACATTACACAATTTGAAGTCGAAATTTGCAGCACAATTTGTTGGCTCTACCGAAACTTGCTGTTGTAGTGAGAGACGATCTTAAGTGACAGGCTACCTGCGCTTTTCTGAGCATTAATTGCGAAACTGGATCCAAGTAACATACCTGTTTAAATAGGTATGAATGTACAGACCCTGCAATTTATAAATGAACTAAATCCTCTTTCTTTAGAACATTTCAATGCTGTTTCTTTCAAATATTAATATGGAATGATGGATATGTGCTAACGGTATACGTTGGTGGGGCACTAGTGGAGGATGGTATGATGAGCATGAGGTCATGTCAGTTACCCTATCATGACAAATTCATGAGGAAGTTTTCGTATTGGCTTCCAGGGAAAACCGCGTGGAGGTCATACAGATATGGTTGACATATTACTAGCAATGGGGTCAACAGTCATATAAATAGATATATGTATAGCTGTACACGCGACCCTGACCCTTAACTTTATTTTCCTAAAATAAAAGTAGCCTTAGTTACTCCTTATTACATCAGCTACCTGCCAATAAAAGTCCCGTCAAAATCGGTCTAGCCATTTCAGAGATTAGCCGGAACAAAGATAAAGACAAAAATTGTAAAAAATGTTATTTTGGTGTATGTACCGTATTTATATTCACATGCATGTAGTAAAAAATGGTTATTTCAATATTACAAACAGACACTCCAATTTTATTTATATGTATGTATAGATGAATTAATTCGTTTAGTTACTTTAAATTTAGGTTTCGACACTCACAGTCTAGTTTGTAAGTAATATTAATGAAAAACTCTTTATTATTGCTCTCACAGAAATAAATTAACAATTACATACATTAACATATATACCAAATATAAAAAAACAACGTAATTACAATATACCGCTAACAATAGACGACGTTATCGCTAAACAGTAATACTGCATTGTACATAAGTTTTTTCACGACCTCGGTGGTCTAGCGGTTTAGCGCACCACCTTTCTTCCAACGCATATAACATACTTTCTATGATCGCGGGTTCGATTCCTCGCAAAGCGCAAACATTTATATTCATGAGCATGATGTTGTGTCAGTCTAGGTATTTTCTATGTATAATGTGTATGTATTTAGGAAAACAAATGTATGTATTTGTATAAGTTATCTAGTACCCATAACACAAGCTGTAGCTATCTTAACTTGTGTCTAGATGGCGCTGTGAGTTGTTCTGATATTGTTTTTATTATTCTTATATACCGTCCTTATGTATGGTAGTGAAATATGACCCGTAACCCAAAAGAACGTGCATACCATCCAAGTTGCAGCAATGAAGATGCTGAGGTGGATGTGTGGTATAACCAGGCTCGATAAAATCCACGAGTACGTACGAGAAAGTCTGGCTGTTCGCGACATTGCTGAGAATTTTCAGGAAGATAGGCTGCGATGGTATGGACACGTTGGAAACCTGGCGCTGCAACTTTCAGGACCAGACCAAGGAAGGGATGGGAAGATGTTGTTGCTAGGGATATGTTAGAGTGTGAGGTCTCTGAAGATGATGTCCGGGACAGGATTATGTGGCGGACAAAAATAAGGAAAGCTGACCCCACCACTATGTGGTGATATATAGATAGATTCTTATATGACGGGTTTGACACAAGGCTCTTCTTTCAAAGCTACCATCCTTTGCCGGCGAAGTTATGCAAATGGGTCGCCAGCTTTCTCGCTGATCGGAGCATCAAGATCGTTGTCGATGGTGCTTGCTCCGACCCACACTCAATGAATGCTGGTGTTCCACAAGGCTGTCTCCGACTCTGTTCCTTCTGCTTATCAATGACATGTTACAAGTCAACAACATTCATTGCTATGCGG